AGAATAGAGGGGGTAAGGAAAACAAAGAAAATAATTCTTCTGTACTCCACCCCAAAGGAATGGTACAGGTAGGAAATCTCCACTTTCATGGAAAACTCCTTTTTCCTTACCAATGTCCATATCACCAAAAACTCCATTGCATTTCTAATCCTGTGACTAATAACTAGAAAATCTAAATAAAACAGTGGTTACAGACACAGCAGCAGTTGACTAACCTATGCATTATAACCATGATTTTTGAGTTCAGCAACCCTCAAACTTTCTGCTGTGGTTCAGTTCTTATGGAATTACTTGAGAAGTTTTAACTGAAATGGAGATTATGTAAACTACAAATCTCATAGCAAAATTGGTCAATTATCGTTAGCACACAAGTACACTGATATTCAATTTCAATTCAAACACACACACACAAAACAAAACCGGTAAAGCATAACGTTAAGCTATTAAAGTTAGCAGTGTTTGTTATTCAGTGTTCTCATCAGAATATTACTAGGAAATAATAATAACTTGATGTTTGCAAAATAAAAGATAGTTTATATTGGAAAGTTAACAAAAAAGGCTCTAAAGTCAACAGTTTGGGCATAAGAAAGTAGTTTAGGCATGGTAGCAAATACACCTTGGTCATCATTTTAATTAACTTTATATGTTATGATTTCAACAATTTACTTCCCCTCAGTTTCATACTTTCATTAGCTTTTACTACTTAAGTATTCATCTAAGGTAATCGTTGTGGCCACTTAAATGGTGATAGACTTGCTAGAACATTGTCAGAATCATGAATTTAGGCTACAAATAGAATAGATGCCTGCAAACGGGTCCTAAGATTAATCTCAATCATCAAGATGTCTTTCTTTAATAGAGCCGTAAGCCCCAAACTCTGCTCTGACTTTCTTGTTCTTGATCATTAGCTAATCTTTCTTTCTAAACCCACCAACGTGCTTAGCACACATTAAGAAGATTCCTGGTTGTTACTTCTTAGAACAAAAAGTTATCAGTCAATTACATGACCACTTAGCTCTCCCATAACCTCAGTTCTATTCTTTCTAGTTTCTCTCTTTGAAAAATGAATATTATTTCCAATTCCACCAATCTCCTCTGAATATAACGACTATCTCCTCAAATGGAAACTCTCAACCACCTCCACAAACAATAACATAATAATCTATCATCAGCCGCCAGTAAATAAAAAGAAAGAGCAAAAAACCAGTTGCTTCAATTGGTAATGAAATTAATATCAAAAGAACTTAAACTTTCAACTTACAGGATTCTGCAGTCCTCCAAGCAAAATGCCTGATAATGAAATGGTGTTCAAAAAATTTAAGTGCCAGTATTCTGGCAGCTCATTGAGTTTTCCTTCATCACTTCACTTGAAATCCTCTTTTCTCTTTCTTTCTTTTCTTTTTTTTCTTCTCTCGTTTGCATTTGTTACTCATATTGTTAAGACTGGCCTGCAATAAAAACACTACAGAATTAATAAATATACCAAATATCATGCAGCTAAACTCTGCCATATTTCAGGACATGTTAAACTACACTGCAGAATTCAACATGGTAAGATATATTAATGCAGAAAACTAAACTAAGTAAATGACCAGCACCAATCTCCAAATTAATTCCCCCAGATATTAGTAAAATACAATATTGCTATCAAAAGAGGTGAATTCTAATGAGGAATGTGCATGTCTGACAATTTCTAATCGAATCAAGAAGTGACTTAAATCATCCATCACAGATTGAAAAGTTTAAACCCAATTATAGAAATCTATAATTAACAACAGATTTTACAAAACCCATAAACCATGAGAGATCTTATTATTTCACACTTAAAATAGTTCCCTTGGTTCTCTAGATCTAAACTCACTTTCTGAAGAGCTAACAGCTAGAATTCTTATTGCAACCAGACGGTATTAAGTCCAGAAATACACCAAAAACACCATTGGGGCATTACAAACAAACAAAAAAAAAATTCCAAACCCATTAACTAAAGTACTAAACCTCACTTGCCCTAGAAATCATCCACACAAGTTCTCTTCAATAGCATAAAACCTATATGGTAAGCTGCCCGATCTAGAACATCCATTCCCCTCAACCCTTACCGCAGTTTTATTGAAAGCGATTTGCACAGAAATACAATTGAAAATGTGTCAGATTAAGCTTCAAATCATCCTGAATATGAAAAATTCACACAAGATCAAACAGAAACAAACACGAAGCTACAGAAGTGTCAGCCCTAAGCTTCAAAATATCATATCATTAGGTAATACAGGATTAGCAAATTGAAGTGAATATAGAAGAAACGCTTGCCTCACCTCAAACTTCGACTGCAATGCAGGGAATTGCGGTGAAGATTGCAGGCGCCGGCCGATCTCCAAACGTCGGAGATAAGTCGTCTAGGAATGTTTGAATCCGATGAATGGAAGACAAGAGCTGACCTAAGGAGAAGAATCATGCGATCGCGGGTTTACTTATACTTGCTTTTTATATACAGAAATGTTTTTTTACCGCCGGTTGTTTTGGAAGACTGCAAAACAAACAGTCATCATTTACAGCTTCCAATATTAGTCTGTGTAATAATTTAGATTATGTAATACTTAAAAAAAATAAAAATAAAACATTTTGTCATTTTAAATATTAAATTTTTTTATAAAATTATTTAAATATTTTAATAAATTTTTTTATATATTAATTTATTAAAAATATTTTAACTTTTTTATTATTAATTGTGATGTTTTAATTGTTAAAATGCCTTAATTTTCTTTCACCTCTACTTTTTTTATTATCTTCACTTTCTTTTGCTTAAATGTCAGTAATTTAATTTTGAAAAAGGAGAAAAAAATCTTTATAGTGTGTTTGATTTAAGGGAAATAAATGGAGGGAAAATGTAAAATTTTTTTTATTCAGTTAATAAAAATTTTAAAAAATAGAAATTTATCTAAATAAGAAGAGGAAAAATAAATAAAAGAATGTTCTATCTTTCCATTTCCCTCTATTGATCTCAAATTAAATGTAATTTGTCATTCATGTTTGATTTTAGAGATGTCTTAAATTTTATCATCACGAATCTAATTAAATATTAAATGAGTTATTGTATGTGCTGAAAAAAAAAAAAAGAATTATTGTATGTTGGCAGATTAACGTACATAACTCTTGAACTCACTGAGTTGTTGATTTTAGCATTCAATTTTAGATTTTAATTATCAATTTAGCTGGTTCAATATTGACCGTGAACCTCCCAATTATGTAACTTTTATAAGGTAAATTGTCAAAAAAAATTTGCAATTGATAAAGTTTTTAAAAATGTAAACTAATAATCCAATTAGTAAAGTACACAATCTCAAATAAAAAGTGTTGACCAGTGTTAATTATACTCAACTACTAATTAGCTAATTAGACACAATTCACAATTAAAAAGAATCTTAAAACAAAAAAATAAAATTTTCTAACACTCAACCAATAAAGAGTTCGTGTGCAAATAGCATTGTTCAAAAATGTTAGATTTCAATTCTTTTCTCTCCAAGTTGGGCTATCAAGAGGTTAATATTTTTTAGTTTTATTTGAGCTAATAAGTGCACCCATAGACCAATAATTTATTAATTTAAGTGGAATGAGTTCAGTTATTTTTAAATAAAGTTTTAAGTTTAACTCTTTTAAATAAAGAAATAAGTGCTGAAAAAAAATTTTCTTTATAAAATTCGACACAGTTTAATTTCAAATTAATCAAAATCTAATGTGATTACTAAATATCAAAAAGTTAACACTAGAAGAATAAGTGCATCCATAATTGATAGCTCTTACTACGGTTTGAGTTACATGAGTTACTCTTGTGCTTTAATATACTATCTCTCTCAAAAATAATAATAATAATAATAATAAACTTTAAAAAAAGACAGCTCAAAAATAAAAAAGATTTTTTTAATTATTTTTTTTAAGGCAATGAAAACCTCAACCTTGGGTCGTGCTGTGGCTCTTGAGTCTCGATAGGTAGTGGGCCTATGGTGCTATGGTATGGTAGAATTCTTCGAATTGGGCTACATGAACAGACTGACCCTATGCCCTCAAGTTTAGTCTTAGACAATGATAGAAATATAATTAAGAGTTTTCTGATATGTATAATTATTATATTTTTTAATATTAATTAATATTAAAAATTATAACAATTATCATTAATTTTATTATCAGTACCATCTAAATCATTTCAATTATACAATTACTTAATTAAAAATTAATTTTAAATTTTTTAATATTAATTAATATTAAAAAATATAATAATTATACTTTTTGATATTTTTCCTCACAACTAAATCATTTCAATTATACAATTACTTAATTAAAAATTAATTTAAAATTTTTTAATATTAATTAATATTTAAAAAATAAAAAAATTATACTTTTTGATATTTTTCCTCACAATGCAAGATTAAAAAAAAATCCTATAATTAATAAGGTATTGGGCTAACAGATGGGCTTCAAAATGAATAACAGTGGAAAACGTGAAAATTAGGAGAGGACGGAGGGGGAAAATTGACGTGTTACGTTGTACGTTCTAACGCATGTCTTTGGTGGCGTTTCCAGTTTACTCCACGTTTATCATATTGTACGTAGACTAAACATGGATCGCTGTCATTCGTGTCTTTTGCACTTTTTGTTTTTTAAATCTTTTTTAATTCATTTTTTTAATAATATAAATAAATAAATAAATTTTTAATCTATATTTTAAAAATATAAATTAAAAATATTTTTTAATATTAATTATTATTTAAAGAGTTTAACATTTATTTAATTAATTGCCTAAAATCTATATAAAAAAAAAAAAGAGTAAGAATTTGGTCACGCTGTGCAGTATTTTCCAGAGAAGAAAGTAAATTATTTTTCAATGACAAGTTTTTTTTTTTTTTGAACATCGAGAAATTTTGGAAAATGGGAATTTTTTTAAAATCATTTTTTTAGTGATAAATTTTATTAATTTTTTTTTTAAAAAATTTAAATAAATTATTTAAAAAATTTTAATTAACGTAAAAAACTCAAAAAACCGTCTATTATGGGGAAAAAAAAATAACAATCACTAGAAAAAGAGAAAATAAAATCAGCTAAAGCAGGATAATAATGAACAAGTTAAAAGAGAAAGATGATCGGTGAGGAGTTGATGGGATCTCTCATTCACCAACACAAAACCAACCATTTTAGTAGATAAATCACATTTGAGATTTGACAATTGACAAGTCATTTTGCAGTTTCTCTTGAATCACAATCATACTTAACAGATTTTTTTTTTAATTTATATTTGGCTAAAATACTTTCTTCCCTTCTTTCAGTTTATTTTCTCTCCTCTTTCTTCCAATTTTTCGTTTCGGAAGCAATTGTTTTCTATATCAGGTGGGATCTTTCATTTCTTGTTCTTTTAAGGTTTTCCTTTCATGATTCTATCTGGGTTGTTGTCTTTCGTTTGCATTATTTGTCTGAATGCATATAGTTTTTTCTGTCTCTCTGAAGTTTCTGCTCATCAAGTGTGTTGGAAATTTGAAGATTTGAGGTTTTTTTTTTTTTTTTTTAATTGAAAGATGCTTACTTTTACACATGGGTATGAAACTACGCATAATTTGGTTTGAATTTTGCTCCTAAATTTTCATGCCTTGATACCTTTTTGTTCATCAATTCTGTTACGTCGTTAAAGTTTACCCCTTTTTCTTTGACTTCTTATGCAGAGATTTTAGTTTATCTAATGCTTTAGTTCTTCACTTTTCTTATTGTTTTTATCATTGAAGGTGCTTTGCATATCCATCTTGAACTGGGGAGGACTGATTGGATTTACCTCGGATTGGAGTTTAATGCAATTTTATTCTTTTGATGAGCATCATGTCAATGGGAACTTCCGAGGCAGTTCTGCAAGTTTTGTCTGGGGCTGTTCCTCGGCGTTTAAGTGGTGATATGTATTTAAGCAATTCTGATTTAGCATTCCCTTTTAAATTTCACATTAAACCTTTAAAAAGGAAAGCCTTAAAGCATATACAATCCTTCAAGTCTTCAAGTGCTATAAAATGTCAATGTCAAATAGGAAGCTATTGGAATAAAGGTGGTGGTCGTTTTTATGGGAAAGCTGTTGTTGACAGATTGAAGCTTGTTAGTTGCAATTGCCAACATTCAGAAAGTGTAAATGGGATAACTGCAGGGGAAAAAAATGGGGCATGGTATGTGGATAGTGCAAAGAAATTAAATCTAAATGGTGCGATGGATACACAGAATATTTTGGAGTTTGAGGACCTTCAGAAGACGAAGAAGGAAAAGGAGAGTTTGACGTCTAATGGTGCCACTGATACAGGGACAACAAAGTTTCACAAGGCTGGTGTAGATCCCATTGAGGATGAAGCATGGGACTTACTGCTGGATTCTGTGGTATACTATTGTGGCAGTCCTGTTGGAACAATTGCTGCCAATGACCCCACAAGTTCCAATGTATTGAATTATGATCAAGTATTTATTCGTGACTTTATACCTTCTGGTATTGCTTTTCTATTGAAAGGAGAGTATGACGTTGTTCGGAACTTCATCCTTCATACACTTCAATTACAGGTAAAAATCTATGTGACCGTTTATCATATCAACTAATCATTTTTTCATATCTTTGGATGTCATGTTAAGTAAACAGCAATTTACAATGCAATGATCATACACATTTCTTATGTCTTTCATTTTCTTGATTATTATTAACTTTTTTCCATTTCTGCTCTCCTGCAATGAAAGTCTCACTTGTAATAATATATAGAAGCCTATGTTAAACCTAGGATGAGGTGGTGATCTATACAACTACTTTTTCATATATACAACGTTTTTTCTTATTTAAAAATAAAAAATAAAAAATTGGGCAATTGTTCTATAGGGGAGGATGTAAGGCATCCAACCAGGTAGAAACCTGGTCACACAGGTGGATAACATAGTGGGTTATCACTTATCACCTGATCTTGGCATAGGTTTATTATATACAGCTTTGGTTCTTCTTGATCAATATCATGGTTATAATTTCATCCATAAATTCCCTTTTTGTTCTTACTATGTATTTATGTTTATGGTTGATAGGCTTCCTGCTAAAACCAAAAATAGTATAACAAAAGATATTAATATATCAAAAAAAAAAGAAAAAAGAAAAAAGATATTTGATTGCATCTGAATCTATGTCTGCAGAGAAAAATTGCATTTTAACACTTGAGTATGTACCTCAGAGATTTCTGTGTAATCTATTTGCTTTGTGTAATCTCAGAGCTGGGAAAAAACAATGGACTGTTATAGCCCAGGTCAGGGTTTAATGCCTGCAAGTTTTAAGGTGCACACGGTTCCTCTTGATGACAATGAATCCATGACTGAGGAGGTTTTGGATCCTGACTTTGGAGAGGCAGCCATTGGCCGTGTCGCACCTGTTGACTCTGGTAAAATAATTGTCTAAAAGATGGTGTTTTGTTGCATCGAACTGCTTAAATTTATGAGCTTTTTACATGTACCTACTGAATTGCAGGATTGTGGTGGATTATATTATTACGTGCATATGGGAAATGCTCTGGTGATCTTTCTGTTCAGGAAAGAATTGATGTTCAAACTGGCATAAAGATGATTCTGAGGCAATGTCTTGCTGATGGTTTTGATATGTTTCCAACATTATTGGTGACAGATGGTCCTTGTATGATAGACCGTCGTATGGGAATTCATGGTCACCCTCTGGAAATCGAGGTAATGCAAAGAATGTATGAATATGGAAAGAAGCACCCCACCAAGTTATTTATTTATTTGTTTGTTTTCCTCTGGCTGAGAGGATTATTGCAGACTGGATAATAAATAGGAAACATCACCAAATTCAATGGTTTGCCAATTATACTAGTTATTGAAAAAATGTCATTTGAAATTGATTATGGGAAGTATGAACTGCTGAAAATTTGTTTGGTTGTGCTGCAGTTGGCAGAATTTATTGATACCTTGCTTCATCAATCATTACATGCATTTTAGACCAGAATTGATATCCAAATTTTAACTTGACATTCACATTTAAATTCTTGTAGGCCCTTTACTATTCAGCTCTACTATGTGCACGTGAAATGCTTGCTCCAGATGATGGATCCAATGACCTTATTCGTGCGCTTAATAATCGTTTGGTGGCCCTGTCATTCCATATCAGGGAATATTATTGGCTTGATTTGAGAAAACTTAATGAGATTTACCGTTACAAGACTGAGGAATATTCATATGATGCAGTTAATAAGTTTAACATTTACCCAGATCAAATTCCTTCTTGGTTGGTGGAATGGATGCCCAATAAAGGAGGCTACCTAATTGGGAACTTGCAACCAGCTCACATGGATTTCCGATTCTTCTCCCTGGGGAACTTGTGGTCTGTTGTAAGTGGTCTTGCTACAAAGGATCAGTCACATGCCATCTTGGACCTTGTTGAAGCTAAATGGGCAGATTTGGTAGCAGACATGCCTTTAAAGATATGTTACCCTGCTCTTGAGGGTCAGGAGTGGCAAATTATCACTGGCAGCGATCCTAAGAACACGTAATATTCCTGCTTTTATCATGACAATATTCTCTGATGTGTCTGATGTCAGTATTTTAATCCCAAGGAGGTTCATTTTGTTTGCAATGCAGGCCTTGGTCCTACCACAATGCTGGTTCATGGCCTACTCTACTCTGGCAGGTTGGTTATTTAGTGCCAGTAATAAATATTTTTGCTAGTTACCATAATCTGCCTTGTTAGATCTTGGGTTTGTAATAATGGTTTAACCCTCTAAGTGAGATCATTAGTGGTAGTTTGGCAGTCCATGTGTAAAATTTTAATATGATAGTCCATTTTGCAGTTCACAGTTGCCTGCATAAAGATGAATAGACCAGAAATGGCCGCCAAAGCTGTTGCAGTTGCTGGGAAACGCTTATCAAGGGACAAATGGCCTGAATATTATGATACTAAAAAAGGGAAGTTTATTGGAAAACAGTCACGCCTGTTCCAGACCTGGTCTATTGCTGGTTACCTTGTTGCAAAACTCTTGATTGCCAAACCAACTGCAGCAAACATTCTAATTACCGAAGAGGATTCTGAGCTTATGAATGCCTTCTCTTGCATGATCACCACTAACCCAAGAAGAAAGCGAGGTCGGAGGAACCTGAAGCAGCCCTACCTGGTATGATTTCCTTCCGAAAAAAAAAGAAAAAAAAACCCTGCAAGATGTAGTAAGCATGTACCTAACTCATGGTACAATTTATTTTGTCCCTCCTGACCATAATTTGAAATTGGCATTTTTCTTTTACATTTTGTTTAATAGGAAAGCTCCATTTCTAGAACAGCTCACATCCAAAATGTCAAAATAGCATTCTTTACATCTGTAAAGTTTTTACTCTGATTCCAGAGTAGTGTATTATGTAGTCCTGAAACAATACCATTATTATGTAATGAACATCAGAAACTATTTTTGGTTTCCTCGGTGTTTTATATCATATTATGAATAAAATGAATATCATATTTGAAGTAGATTAATTATGTCTGCAACTTTATCTCGATTAAGGTTTTTTGTGGTTTATCGTAATAATTGGAACATGTAAAAACAGACTTGTTCATACTTCCCAGAACATAGCTGCTTTGGAAATATTTGTTTATCGCACAGCCTGAATGCCAACAAACTGACAGCATCAGTTGGGATAATTCTCTTCTGTCTCTGGTTCATAACGTTTTGGACAGCTATTTTCCCAGAACATGACAACAGCTGCCAACATGGATTAACAGTGACATTTTTTAGCCATAAAAAAGAAAAATATTATAAATTAGAATTTGGAAATAGCAGCCAAAATCAAGTTTGTAATTTGTGAATGAATTGGTTACGTCATGAATTAGAATTTAGAACAGTGACACCCCCCTCCCCCCCTAAATGCCCCACCAGCACAACTTGAAAAGAGTGATGATGGGAAATAATTCAAATAAAAAAATTAAATTCATTGATAAATAAGTTTTGTTTTGTGCACTAAATTTAGTTTTAAATTTTAAAGTCATTACTTAAAATGATAAATTTTCTCAAATATACTAAATTAATGTAAAAGTTGTGTTTTTAACATTATATGGAAAGTAATTAATTTTAAAATAAATAAAATTTAATTTGGAATACCCTCACTGCAAATTTAAAAAAAAAAAGAAAGAGGAAAATCTATTGGAAAGTACAAAGCCAAAATTGGAATTGACCCAAGTGGGCCCTTTATGGTCCCTTACCATACTAAACCTCGCCACATGGCACGACCTCATTCTGCCGACCCATTCCCATCCTCTCCAAAACCCCCTTCCCACCACACAACGGTGGCTCGGTGGCTCTGGCTCACCTCCTCCACCACCTTCATGGAATCAAGTGTTGATGAACTCGTCGGTGACCTCGACGACCTCAGCTTCACCTCTACAGCAACTACTTCCACCACTGCTACTGCCTCTGCCCCCGAAACAAGTTCGGGCCCTGAACTGTCCACCCCTAATAATAAGCGCCGCCATGCCACTCCATCAGACCCTCGTTGGGATGCCATCCAAAGAATAAAATCCGATGGCAATGTGCTATCCCTCACCGACTTCCGCCTCATCCGCCGCCTTGGCTGCGGTGACATCGGGAGCGTCTACCTAGTGGAGCTTAAAGACACCAACACAACCAATTGTTTGTTTGCTGCCAAAGTGATGGACAAAAAGGAATTAGTGAGCAGAAACAAAGAAAGTAGAGCAAGAGTAGAAAGAGAAATATTGCATCTTTTGGACCATCCTTTTCTGCCAACTCTTTACGCCATACTGGACTGTCCCAGGTGGTCTTGTCTGTTGACTGAATTCTGCCCCGGCCACGACCTCCACGTCCTCCGTCAAAAGCAACAGGAAAAACGATTCCAGGAAAACGCTGTCCGGTACGTACAATTATGGTATTTTCATCTCTCGATACAATTATTTGAGTACATAATACCATGATTTTTGAAAGGCATCATGAGAAATGGTTCATCAGAGTAATCAGTAGGAGTTTTACCATATGTTTAATAGTGATAATTGCATATGGGGCCGGTGATTTAACGGAAGAGAGATCACTTCGAGCCCACATATAGCTTTTGGTGGGGGGTGTCTCGCATCGCATGCAGCAGATCATCATGGGTCTGCTCGATACTTCTCCCAGCCCTCAATTCATATGGCTATACTGGTTTTGGTGAATCTCACTGTATAAACATTTTTATGTTAATTTGTGCCAACTGTGTTAGTCTAATTTTATACTATTATATGTTTTGTAATTTAAATTATAAAATATGAATTATTAGATAATAATATTTTAATATTAATAAATTGTTTTTAATCTAATAGTTTAAGTTGTGTATTTTTAATTATATAATATTTTTTATCTATATTAATTTTATGCTCCTATACAATTTATAATTTAATTGTGTTGGGGAAGAGGAGGCATACAAGAGGGTAGAAATCTTAGTAAACTTTGTTATTTGGTTGACTTATTTAATTAAACTATCTATAGCTAATTGATCGCCAATATTTTAGAGTTAATAGTGTTTTAATTATAGATAACACGTATTAGAAGTTAAATATATATTTTACTTATTAGCTATAGCTAGGCTATTCAAGACAAAAAAGCTAAATTAAACAGGGTAATTAATAAAATATATTTTACATTTAATATTTGTTGTTACTTTGTAATTTAATATACTTCTATAAAGTATTAAATATCCATTATAAATTTTGTTCTGAAATATAGTTTTTTTTTAATATTATTAATATGTACTTTTTTATTATTTTAAAAAAATTATCATTTTAATATTAAAATTATATAAAATTATAAAATAAAAATTATTAAATATAACAAAATCTCAATATTATAATTCAACTCCCATTGAATGATTAGTCAACTTAAAAAGTTTATGTTTACGGATAAATAACTTATTTTTTTAAAATTAATTAACAGGTTCTATGCATCGGAAATTGTGGTTGCGCTAGAGTACTTGCACATGATGGGGATAATCTACCGTGATCTCAAGCCTGAAAACGTCTTAGTAAGATCGGACGGTCACATCATGCTGACAGATTTTGACCTCTCCTTAAAGAGCGATGATTCCACATCAACGGCTATCCTGGTTTCCGATCAACCCACATCAACGGCTAATCCGACGGCTGACGCACCTCCATTTGGTAACTCATCATGCATGTTACCAAATTGCATGGTACCGGCAGTCTCATGCTTCCACCCCGGACTAAGGCGGAGAAAGAAGTCATCCTACGGCGGGGCTCTAGACATTGTGGCGGAGCCAATTGATGTCCGCTCGATGTCATTCGTCGGGACCCATGAGTACTTGGCGCCGGAGATTGTGTCGGGGGAGGGACATGGCAATGCAGTGGACTGGTGGACATTAGGCATATTCATATTTGAAATGTTCTATGGTGTGACACCATTTAAAGGGGTTGATAATGAGCTAACCCTGGCTAATATCGTGGCTCGAGCCCTCGAGTTCCCTAAGGAACCATCGGTGCCTGGACCGGCTAAGGACTTAATTGCACAACTTTTGGTGAAGGACCCCGTCCGGCGGATGGGGTCTACAATGGGGGCTGCAGCTATCAAGCGGCACCAATTCTTTGATGGGGTTAATTGGGCATTATTGAGATGTACAAAACCACCTTATGTTCCCCTGCCGGTGAGTTACCAGCAATTAGCCACAGCAGATAACAGTACCGACAATTCTGTGGAATATTACTAATAGAATCAATATCCCCCTATATGGGATTATTATTTTATTTTATTGGCTCATTAGGGATTATTTTGTTCCAAAAAAATCATAATCCATATAAGCTTTTGTCTTATAATTATAATTTATGATCATTCGTTTTAGTTTAATATATTATAATAGTTTTTACAATATGAGGTGGAGTTTACAGTTATATATGTATGAGACATTAAAAAAAATTAATTTAGAATGTTACATGATATATTATATAAAAATGTTTTACTTTTAAAATTGAATATATATATATATATATAGCATTTTTATATTTATAATCATGTCGAAGAAAATACTAGATAAATTTTCAATTTAAATTCCCATGCTATTTAGGGTATGAACGTATTTAAATATTCTTACTAAATAAAATTTACTAAAGATATTTTAGTACTTTTATAACTTAAATTGCTTTATATATATATGTATACATTTATCTATTTTAGTAATGGATATCCTTGTATTTTATCTTTAGATGTATAATTTGATGACAATTTATATTTTGAGAATAGTGCATTTTAATCTCAATTCTTAAAAAAAATTAAAATTTCAATTTATATTTGAAAACTAAAATCTTAATTCAAAAGTTAGAAATCTATTCTATTAAATGCCAATATCTAGATTTAGAAACTGATTATATTATAATCAGTTTCTAAATCTAAATACCAATATTTAATAACATACATAGATTTTTAAATTTTAAATTGAGTTTTAATCAAATAAAATAAAATAATTTATGATTAAGATTCTAATTTATTTTAATAACCATGACTAATATATATTTTTCCTTATATTTTTACCTATATTATCTCTTTTTATATAAGAGAAACTTTTTTATAATAGTATGGATAATTAAAGTTAAAGGATAATGATAAAGTTAAAATAAAATTAAAAAAAAAAAAGAACATCTGTGCTATTTTATTTTAGTATTTAAGGTAAGGTGTCTCTAATTTAACTTTTACTTATTTTTATATTAATTTTTTAGATATCTTAAAAATACATCCTCACACTTAACATAATATATTTAAAAAAATTATTTATTTTCGGTGAAAATATACACTGGTTTTTAATCATCGATGACGTCACAATTCCTCCAACATTTAATTCAAAACACGCATATTAATCTCAATTTTTATTGAGGCCAAAAAAAAAGAAAAAAGGCTCAATTATTATTGTTTTACTAATACCAAGTCATAAAGTGAGTAAACTTTTGGGAAAGCCCATTGGAATATCGGGCTTCCCAATCACAAGCCCAAAACGAGGTTTCATTATTACATTTTAAACCTTGTACAATGTTTCCGTCCCACTCCCACATTTGGAAAAATATGGCGAAATCCTGTAAACCTTGTATTTCTGCAACGGCGAGCTCCAAGCGGCAGTTTGGTTCCTCAGTCCAGTACACAGCCAGAACGGCGGCGATGCTAATTGGGCATCATACTGTAACGCACCACTGGCATGACCAAAAATGCTGTTTCACGTTTCCAATTCTGTCTTTTTTTCTCCAGAAATTACATGCAACGTCAGCATTACTCTCACTCCCAAAACGGTCCATAAATACCCTCCTCTATCACCCTCTCCATCCACACCTCATTCACTGAGACTCTTTCTCTTTCTGTTCCTCTTTCCAATTCCTTTCTGGGTTTTTTTTTTTTTTTTGAGTCTTCGCCATGGCTAGCAGGAAGGAGGCTTTGAACCTCGAGGTCCTTGAAATGATCAGTATAATGGAGAAAAAAGTAATCTTTCTTATGTTCTGCATTGATAGAGATGCATATCTACTATATTTATGTTTGAATTTGTAAAGGGTCTTGATGATATATATGTGTTTTTTGTTTCTTTGTAATGCACCGGCACAAGGTGTATATTTGATGATATATATGTGTTTTTTGTTTCTTTGGAATGCATGTGTACAAGGTGTATATTTGTTTTTAGTCACTGACATATAAAGATATGATGCCAAGTTTATTTTACAGTGTTTAGAGACAAGCTTGTTAATTTGTTTATCTGCTATTATCATGAGGTTTTAATTTGTTAAGAGGTAACCTTTGTTATGCCATTTTATCTTGTTTCTCATGATAAATGAAGTTCAAAAGGAAAAGGATAAACTAATGAGATTTATTCATATTCAAAACTCCTGTGGCTGTGACAAACAATCTATCTTCTTTTCTTTGTAAAAATTATAGTCTTTTGTCATTGTTTCTTAGATATGGTGATTTGAGGGTTTATATAATGGATTTCAATTCCATTACTTTAGCTATGAATTTGAAAATGAAAGAGAAACTCTGATACATCAATTGATTGGTTGGTTGATTGATTATGCATTTTGTTAGATGATTTTTTTTTTTTTTTTTGTGTGTTTATGGTCTTTTCTCTCTTCCTTGCAGGGCGCAGTTGATGATCGTCTTGGCAAGATTCGGGATATGAATGAGACAAGTAACCCTTTTCCTCTTCTGGAGTTGATTCCAACCTTCAACAAGGATGCCTACAGCATCTTAAGAGAAATGAGTGTTGCTTTGTATATCCATCCACCCTTGATGTTAATAATATTGTTTCAAGAAATTTATCATTCTTTTTAGTTTTTGACAGGACTGATTTTCTCGCTGTTTACTCCATTTGCAGGGGTAAAACTGATCTGGATTATGGTCACCTGGAGGAACTTTGCTCAAAAATGGAAGGGAAAACCTCAAGGTAAATAATGTGGTTTCTCATGAATCCAAGCATTAATGCTAAAAACTCAGTTTTCATCCATTACATTTGTTGCAGTGGGAATATACCAAAGAATTGGGACTATTAATTTGATGATCCTGTTCATTCAATTATGATTTTGTTTGGATCTTGAAAATATTTTGCAACTGTTACCACAAAGTCCAAAAATGATTAGGACCTTTAGTCAATGGAAATACGAGCAATTATATATTTAGAATGTTTCCAATGTCATTGCATACGTATTGTACATGTGTAATGAGCATACGTGATGTGCATACGCAATGAGCATACGTAATGAGCATACGTAATGGGCATATGTTATGTTCATAAGTTTTGAGTATACATAATGTGCATACGTAATCAGCTTATGTAATGTGGATAGCAATCTAGTATTGATCACCCTGGTTAAAGTTCAAGCCTAGTTTATTAAATTGGTATGCATTTTCCTGATATTCCAGATTATGAGTTTATTAGTGACGTACAAACTCTTAGCTTTGTCATAGATAAATGAATTTCAAATTTCCTCCATTGACATCAAAACAATAACCATTGATGTTAATTTCAGAACTAGCTGTATCTAATTTAAGTTTCATTCTTTTTTGGCTGGGACTATAGTTATTATTGTCAAAGAGAGAAGCATCAACAGAACATTTATCTTGCATCCAGCAATTTGTTGGTTGGATAAGATAGATAATTCAGTGTGTTGTAATCTTTTTTAAATCTCCTAGCATTTAATTAGGACATGTTTTTGATAACTCAGCTAGCTTGAGTCATTCCTTTTTCATTGTTTAGGTTATTCTTATGCTTCTTTATATCATTTTGATTATTCCTTAATGCTGAGTCATTTTTCTAACTTGGTTTCCAGCATTGGTGCTTGTCGTATGGCACGGGCATGTAGTAGACTCCGTCAGGCTACTGATGAGAAATCTAAAGATGGGTAAGAAAAATGTATCTTTTCCCCTCACTCTAGCCCTTAACTTGTCTGCATTCAAATTTGTTGCTATTGCTTCATAATAAATTTGAAGAACTCCTAAATCTCTCAATATGAAAGCATACAACATTATCCACTGCAAAGATCAATGGTGCCACACTTTATGCAGGAAGGAAGAGGGAACTATAGAGTGAATGTAGGATCAAAATTAATTTGAGTACAAATAAGGCCATCGTCACTGTAATTAGAATACAGTTGTCAAGCCATTTATGTGGATGGTAACTGTCTTGAGGAAACTAAAAGAATGCCAGTTTTACATATCTTTATGAGGTGAAAACTATAACCTTCATATCATATACTCCTCCTTTCTCTTCGATTCACTTATTCATGGAGCGACTAGAATTAGTCTGAGATGTTCATGATTCTTGCTGTTGGCATGTTAGGTGAAGAGTGAAGAGGAATAAAAGATGTCTATCCTGATAAGTCCAGATATGAATAAATTTAGCTGAATGTGTAGTTTATTTTATTGTTCTGGTAGCTAGAGATCCAAATAATTGGAGATAGAGACAAAGTTCTTATTCATACTTTTACGTCTAATAGGGACATTGTAGAAAAATCCTTGATTTGGAGCCTAAAATCATTTGATATTATGTTTGTCAATCTTATTCGTGAGTTGCACCATTTTAGCTTATTAGATCTATATTGATTGTATACTGATGTCAAATAATCATTATCTATACGAATAGATAGAAAAACAGATATATAGAAATCCATTCATTTTTATGTGAAAATATAGATGAAACTTAGATGGCAGAATTAACACGTTCTTTTCTGTTTTATCATTATTGGTTACTTGCTGTTTGTGATGTGGCCTAGAACTCTCCCTCCCTTGACATAAATGTATTTCCTTTTACAGCTGTCTCAATGCCTTTGAGATACTAAAAAATGAATACTTATCTCTGAATTGGATGCTGGAATGGACAGCTGAGGTAATATGGGCTTTAATTTACAGTTTTCATTTTGATATATGTTTACCTTAAAATAGATGGACGTGTTATGCCTTTCAAGAAAAAAAAGATGGATGTGTTATGTATTTTGCTGTCATGGTGATTCTTGATGCTGTTAGATTTCCCAGGTTGCTTCATATGTTTTATCTTCGCTTCCATGATATTATTCACCTTTCTCATTGATTTTTGTTAGACCTTCTTTATATTTCTTGTAAATTATAGAAACCTATCAAATTTATGGCTGAGCTTTAAGAAGGGTAATCCTGTTTTGTTCCCTCAACAAATGCACATCTAAATTTCTCAGATGATGGTATCTTGTTATTGAAAATTTTATTTGAGATTCTGTGACAGCTTTTTTGATTGCATTATCACTTGTACATCTGGTTTTGATTGAATTCATCTGTTGATTGTTTGTTAGTTTTGTTTTTTCTTAATATAGCGAGAACTTCCAGAAAGAATGTAATGAAGTTGGGTTTTGGTTTTTTCCTTTAAAATCACATTACTTGCCCGCTGCTCTGCTCTTTGGAGCTTTTGATGACTTCTAATATATGAACTTTGATCATTTTAGTGAATGCCTTTCCCTTACTGCATGATTGCTTGTGTTTTCAGCTGGAAAGGAGGATCCTCTCCCTGGAAACAAATGATCCATGATGGTTGTTGCACCTTCGATTGCATTTCTGCTGTTGTTAGACTGTCGCCTGCTTTTCAGCTGTTGTTAGATGCTAGAAGTGTGCTCTGAGTGTTTTTCATTTCCTGTTATAAACATCAAAACCAATCAGTGTTCTTGTTTCCTGTTTCAAATATCCTTTGTGGCTTTTCCTGTTCGAAGTTTGTTGTAAAAACCTTGCAATGTTTGAAATTTGTTCTTAGTTAATTTATGCCTTAAATACTGCTTTAAGGATTTCATTGCCTTCTTTAAATTGTCATATGATAAAGAATAGATAATTTTAAAGATCTAAAACTCAAAAACACTACACTAAGGTGTATGATTTGAATTTTGAAATAAAACATTCAGCAATAGTCATCATTTTATGGCATTAGTCTCTTCTCATCTTTCTGCACAAGAGAGCAAAATGTTGCTCCTTTGTCCTTCCTGTAGGTCCATTCATCAATATTCACACATTTATATTGATCCATATGATGGTGAAAAAATTCAATGAATAATCACATAAGAGTATAAAACACAAGAAGATCGCCTTTATATTCAAACACCAACAGTGAATGTAAAATGACAAGCACCCAACAGGATATTGTAGTTACTAGCTTCCAAGTTTATCTGAAGCATAGCCTACAGCACATGTGATGACATAGAGAGTTCACCATACAATAAGATGTTAATACATGAAGCTAATAGAGAGTATTTAAGCAATAGCCACTGCTGCTGCAGGCTTTGTCTCGGATTCAGCTGGTGCTTCCCCGGACTTAGCCTCAGGTGCTGCTGGAGCTTCTGCCTCCCAGAAGGCAGTCTTCTTTCCAGTCTTTGATACAATCTGCAGAACTGCATCAGGCTGCACATTTCCTTTTACCGTCACTTTTTGCTCCTTCAGATCTATATCATATGATTCTACACCTGAAGATGTTATTCAAGATGCTGGTATCAGTTTCCAACGTTATCAATCAAGAAATCAACACTAGCCTTTCTCCATAAACTTCTACTCTTTATTAAATCAGTATACATGTCTATCTTGAAGGCAATTGAAAAGCACTGAAAAATTGGGTGGTGCTACAAGGATAACCTTTTTGTCTTACCTTTTTATACAACTTTCACGTATCATTAAATGAGTGTATGAATGTAATATCACGGGTTCCGCATAAATTGAATGAAATAATCATTTTAATGACACATTAGGTTGAAACAGAAAAACAAAGTGCAGTTAGCCTCACGCGGACTGAAAACTGAAGATTTGAGTTTTGAAGAGGCCGTCATGCTAAATAATGATTGTAAACAGGTTGAAGAAATGAAACGAAATACTATGCAGTGAAGAAGTTGCAAATACAGACTAACTAAAAACAAAAGTTGACATTCGAGATACAACATACCTTCCATTTTCCCTAAAACCCTCTTCACTGCTCCAACGCAGCCTTGACATGACATACCAACCTTAAGAACAACAGTCTGGATCCAAACCAAAACCAAAATAACGTTCAATAAATTTGCCGACAAAAACACTGGAGTGCATTCTTGATTGATAATCAGGAACCAGAAAACACAACTAAGCAAAAAGAGAGAACTGATGCTTCCACAGGACCAATCAGATAATAAATGAATCTATTCTTTAAAGCTTAGTTGTCCATGAAGGTAGGCAGAATGCAAAAGTATTCATCAAAACTATCAAATCTAGCTCTATCAAAAAGAAGCTAGCATCAAGACACAACCAAATATGAAGAATTAAAACCGAAGAATTCCTAACGATGATGACACTGCTGCCAGCCAAGAAAGAAAATTCAATGAAATTTAAACCCATAATTCCGAAAATAAAAATGGAGAAAAAAGGCACTTAAAAACGGCAACTTTTGCTCCAAAATCCAATAGGCCAAAAGTCAGAGACTTTCATAATTTATTTCTTTCTACTTGCTCATTTCCTCTTACCCATTAACCCAACCTACCAAATCCATCCCCAACACTTCAAGAATTCGAGAAATTCACAACTTGATTAAATCAAAGGAGGAAAGAATAAAAAAGTATAACCTAAAAGCTCTGTCCTTTCCTCCAAAAAAACCCAAAGGGCCAAAATCCCAACTAATAAACAAGAAGAAGACCATGTACAAACGAAACCCACAAGACCAAGCGTGTAAAACCAAAATGAAATTTCTCCTTGCAATTGAACAAGAACTAGGTGTGTGTTGCTGTTTCTAATTAGAATCAGAAAATATCAAAGTAAAGATTGGGAAATGGGAATGGGTTGTTGAGTACCTGAGACATGGCTCCGGTACCAAACGATGGAGAAAAAGAAGGAATTGTTGCTGGGATGAGTGGGTGCGTTGGGTTGGGTGGAGGTCTTTATAGGTGAGAAAGATATTCTTCAACGTAAAGTAACCACCCGCTTTTTATTTTAATTGGTCCTTTTTTTTTT